CCTCAACCACCACAACCGACCACGAGGCCTACGACTTCTGGTTCGGGCACTGAGGAGGAAGGGGATAAGCGCGCACAGGTCCCATGCAGATACTTCGGGAAGTCGTACAAGGGGTGTGCCAGGGGAACGCGATGTCCGTTCTTGCATACCTGGGAGGGGAACGAGAAGGAGAAGTCATCTCGGTGTCACCTATGTGGTGGCAAACATATGTCGAAAGATTGCCCGACCAAGAAGCCGAGTACTCCAACTACGACACCCCCGTCTACTACTCCGGGAACTCCAAAGGCACCGCCGAACAAGGCAGCTCCTTCGACTCCCTCGCAGCCTTCTACGTCAACTTCTACAAAGACGGTTCGCATCGACGATAAGCCCCAAGTTCAGGAAACTTCTACGTCATCGACTACAACGTCAAGTGAGACCGTCCCTGACTTGAAGGAGGTTTTGGCCGATGTGGGAAAGATGCTGAAGGTGATGACGGCGTCCTCTTTGAAACGGTTTACCGTGAAGGATGTGGAAAAGAGTTATGGTCCAAGCATCCGCAGCTTGACTACGCAGAACGAGGACTGTGAGGAAGGCGACTCTGGGACGACATTGACAACATGTTCGGCAACTGAGTGTGCGGTTGTCTCCGAGGACTGCGACGCGGAAGAGGAAAGTGAGGGCGAAGATGGTGGACCACGTGGCCTCTTGGACAGTGGAGCAAGCCACGCCCTCAAGCAGGCCACTCAGGAAGAGTATGATCAAGGTGTTCCAGTGAAGGTTACGCTTGCGGGCGAAGATACCAGAGTCCTACGGCAAAACGTTTGTGGAACTGTCTTGGTGACCAACGAGGGCAACGACCAGGTACAACCCATAGTTCCGATGGGACCTCTGATCAAGGACCTTGGGTGCAGCCTGCAGTGGAATAGAGGAACGGTCAAGCTGAGACATCCGACCAAGGGCTTCATCAAAGTCTACCTCAACAACAACTGTCCCGAAATCAACTTCAGGGAAGCCCACCGCCTTATCAAAGAGTTGGAGGCGAAACACTTAGCACAGCTCAGTGCGCAGGTGAATTCCTTAACAGCAAGACTGGAAGTTCTACGCAAGGAAGAACATCGGACTTGGGATGTGTTGATGAAGGAGTATGTGAACACTGGATGCCAGGCAACCCTCCTGAAGGCTCTTCTTTTGTGCCCTGTCACCAAAGACCTTCCTAGCGATGTGCACGCAATGATTGCCGAAGGTTTCAATCCGGATGGTGGCGAGAACTACTTGAAGGAGCTTCCGCTGACGAAGAGGAGGAGGAGGGCTCTCATGAGGTCGAACTCTTGGGTGGTTCATCTGTACTCAAGAGAAGGTGATGGTGAGAACGGTCCATTCAATGTGCTTCCGAAAGGGGGCAAGATGATTGTGGAGGTGGACACAAAGGCCTCCAAGCAGTGGGACATCCATCGCAAGGAGGGAGTATATCGTATGCTGTTATGGGCTGCGGCGAAAGGGAAGATAACGGATGTGTTGGGAAGCCCTCCACATTCCACCTGGCCAACTTCAATGGCACCGAGGAGACCGAGCCTGTATCCAGTTCGAACTACTACGTCGCCGTATGGACAACAACCACTGCAACCTCTACAGCAACATCGAGTTGATCAGGAGACTGCCTGCATTGCAAAGCAGTTGATTATATGGATGGTCGCTTCAGTCAGGGGACCAGGAGGAGTGGGGTTCTTCATGGATCTTCCTCAAGACCCTGAGCGCCTGAGAAACGATCAGCCGGTACAGGCTTCCTTCTGGTCAACGGAAATGTGGAAGGCTTTTAAGTCTGTTGGTGGCGTGAAGCGGGTTGACTTCTACATGGGAGCCTACGGCCACAAGGCAAAGAAGCCTACGACAGCAGCTACGAATTATCCAGGCGTGATTGGGATGGATGAGAATTGGGATTTTGCTGACAGCTGTGTTCCTCCGTCGTTACTAAAGAAGGGTGAGCTGAACAGTTGGTCAAGGGAGTTCAAGGCGATTCTTGCGGAGAACATCCTTGGCTACTACGACAACTCCGCAATATCCGAAGAGGAGATCACCGATGGAGTTAGACTAAACAAGTTGACTCAAGAACAACGGAGAGAATGGAGAAACCATATATACAACGACCACCAACCTTATCGCCCTGATTGTGCTGTGTGCGTAAATGCTCAGGCCACTGGCTATCAGCATAGAAGGAGAAGGCTGCCGGGAATGTATACGCTCGCAATGGACTTGGCAGGTCCTTTCAAGAAGAAAGGAAGAGATATGGACTTCGAGGATTACAAGTACATCATGATTGCTGCTTACAGATGCCCTCGTCAATACCTGAGCTCAATGGCCCTGACCGAACTTGAACGTGAGCTATATGTACCTTCTGATGATGAAGGACAGCCTCAAGGTGACGATCCTTTACAGTTGGATGATGAAGAAGAAAAAGAAGCTGAGGCTGAAGAGTCATCAACGGAGGAAGTGGAAAAGGTGGAAAGTGAAGTGGAAGAATTGACCAAGAAGGTTGAGTACTCCACCATCTATGTCACCCGTTGTTTGAGGAGGAGAACGGGACCTGCGGTACTACAAGCTGCGAAAGAAATCCTTCTACAACTACGGCAAACGGGGCTGCATGTAGCTACTGTGCACACGGACCGAGCGAGGGAGTTCAAGACCAAGATGTTCAAAACTTGGGTCAATGATGAGAAGCTTCGGCAGACCAGAACAGCTGGAGGAGATCCAGCCGCCAATAGCACTGCGGAGCTGGGAGTGAAATGGGCAAAGGCGCGAGTACGATCTCTACTTAAAAGTGCAAAGGCTGCTCCAGAAGACTGGCCGATGGCAATGGATCATGCAACGAGCAGTTTGTGGTCGAAGGCTTTTCCCTCCAGCTCATGGACAAATCCTCCAGCAGTTCCCTTTGGCACTGAGGTTTGGTTTCGTTCCAAGGGATACAAGGGCAAGAAAGAGAAGAAGTATGACCCGGATGGTGTTCGATGGAAAAAGGGTGCTTATCGTGGTCCTTCAAGAGAGGTCAGCCGTGGACATGTTATCCTACGAGAAGATGGGGGACTTGTCATTGCAAAGGGCGTAAAGTTCAACATTGTAGAACCTGAGCGTGATCTACAGGAACTCCTCCCTCACGCTACTGTCGAAGGTGATGTTGGGAAGCTACTGGACGATGATTTGCCAACCACGAAGAAGCAGCTTCGCGAGGAAGTGGAGTTCATGTCACGAAAGGCCATGTCAGAGAACAACTACACCATCGAGCAGGTTGTGAAGATCTACGACTTGCTTGAAGAACTAGGTGATGTGGACTTTCGTGCAGCGAAGAAAACTACAATGACCTCGTGGTACACAGGTGCTTTCGTTCATGGAGGAAAAGCGGGCGTTCGTTCAAACTTAAAGGAGTACCCGATTACTACGAAGTTCCTGGCAACCTTCGCGAAGAAGTACAGTGGAGAGCACCAGTTCAGTGCTTTGGGAATCGCGCGAAACAGCACCCTGGGGTTGCACCGCGACTCTCATAACTCGAGAGAGACTGTGAACATGGTGATTCCTTTGTCTGAGTTCAGTGGAGGAAACTTGTGGATCCAGGATGATGATCTTGATCCAAGTGCGGCTGTGGAAAAGGTCCTTCCCAATGGGCAAAAGCTTCAAGGGCGTGTTCTGACTTTGGAGAAGAACAAGATCACCGAGTTTTCACCAAGCAAATGGCATGAAGTACAGCCTTGGGAAGGGGATCGTCTTGTGATGTTGCTCTACACCCCAAGAACGTCTAAACTCAATGATGAGGACTACGAGCGACTTCAAGAAGCCGGATTTGTGATCGAGAAGGCCAAGGATAACGTTGAGGATTCTGGTGAGGACGATCTTGAAAGCGAGGCGGTGATAAAGCGGTTCGATGTTGTTGAGGTTAATGAGATGATCCAGGCCTTCATTGAGGTTGATGAATTGGACTTCCTTGACTTCAACCTTAGAGACCGTAATCCTTGCCCCTCGCGTGCAATACTCAAGAAAGCCGAAGTTCAATGCACACCGGACATTGAGAACATCCTTCAAGACTTGGAGGCCACGGGCAAGGCTTTGGAAGTGACGCACACCGTGAACTTGGGAGATGTGAAGAAGAATATCTCCAAGTGGTATGATTCCGCGGTAAAGGAGTTCACCAACCTCCGGGATAAGAAGAAGGCGTTCAAGGTCACCAAACGGTGGGATCTCCCAGAAGGATGCAAAATAGTGCCCTGTAAGGGTGTCTTCACAGTCAAACCAGATGCTCCTCCCAACTACTACAAGAGGAAAACCAGATTTGTTGCGTGTGGAAATCACGTTCCTGAAGGTAGCATGATGCCGGAAGGATTTGATCTGTTCGCTGCTGGCTTAGACTCAACTTCGCTTCGCACGATGTTCGCATACACGGCGGGTTCCAATTGGCTTACTGGAACCACTGACATCAGACAGGCTTTTGTGCTGGCTCCATGGTTGGGGGCTTCGGTTGCATTGCAGCCACCGAGCATTGCATTTGAGCTCGGCTTAGCTGAGCCTGGAGACATGTGGGAAGTCTTAATGTCAATCTACGGCCTTAGAGAGGCCCCTGCCCTCTGGTCAGGATTTCGAGACCAAGAGCTTCGTGCAGCGGTTTGGGAGACGGAACTCAATGGAGTCACCAAGAAGTTGAGACTTCAGCAGTTGGTTTCCGACAATCAAGTGTGGAAGGTCGTTGATGTTGATGACCCAAGCCAGGCCCTAGGCTATGTGATGGAGTGTACATTGATGATCTGCTGATTACCGGACCCTCGGAGATCCTACATTCTTTCTTTGCATGGGTTTCAGCCCGTTGGGAATGCGATGAACTCAATGTCTTGAATGAGAACAACTCCATACGGTTCCTGGGATTGGAGATACATAAGGTTCCAGGAGGAGTAGAGGTGGCACAGCATGGCTTCATCAGTGAGTTGCTCCGGGCATACAACCACAAGGGTTCAAGGTCCTGGTCTCAAGGTTCCAGAGAGATGATGGTCTTTTCACCAGAAGAAGAAGAGGCATTCTTGAACGCCGAGCCCGTGAACTTGGAGGGTCGTGAAGCAGAGGTCAAACAAGCCCAGAAACGGGTAGGAGAGCTTCTTTGGTTAACTGGAAGGTCACGCCCCGATCTGCAATATATCACTTCAATTATGTCTTCCAGGATTACGCGAGTACCAGAGTTGGTGAATGAGTTGGGTGAAAGGTTGCTTGACTACTTGGCAGAGACTCAGTATTACCGGCTGAAGTTCGTAAAGAGTGACGATGTTGAACAGCGGTTGGATATATTTACTGACTCCTCGTTTGCAACCTCCTCTGGTCGGTCTCATGGATGTGCCGCAGTGTTCTGGGGAACTTCACCTATCTCCTGGCGTTCGTCGAGGCAACAGCTGATAACTCTTAGCACCGCTGAGAGCGAGATGGTTGAGGCTGTGGATGGCACTACCTTGGGTTTGGCCACAAAGTGTCTGCTACAAGAGCTCCTGGGACGTGAGTTGCCCATGTACCTCCACATTGACAACCAGGCTGCTATCTCACTTATTGGTGGCAGTTCTGCAAGTTGGAGGACGAGACACCTACGATTACGATCAAACTGGGTGAGAGAGCGAGTGATGATGCGGGAACTTTACCTGCAACATGAACCTGGGGAAACTCAGAGAGCTGACCTAGGAACCAAGGCATTGCCCAAAGATCGTTTGAAGAAGCTAGTGGAGCTGTGGGGTGTGGTTGACCGAAGGCCTCCTCGTGATCCATCAGTGCGGCGAGCCACCACACAAGGAGCCGGGCATCAAGGTTGGCTTTCGAAGTTGGTAATGTTCTGTCAAGTTTGTGGAACAGCAGCCTCAGAGCAGAATACGATCCAGCCAGAGATTGCCTGGGACCTTTATCTAGTAGTCGCGGTTCTTGCTATAGCTGTTATTGGCTTGTGGGAAGCGTTTAAGTTCTGCTGGAGAAAGAAGGAGGCTCGTTTGCGGGCATTGAGGGTTAAAGCCAACAAAGCGACGCAGCAGAAGCTCACCAAGGCAGAGCTGAAAGAGTTGCAAAGGATCCTCGCCTTGAACCCGGAGGATTTGACCGTGGACCAAAAGTTTCGTCTGGTTGAACTTAGGACGAGATTCGAGAACACAATGCCCCAAGGCACCTCGCCAGTCCCAACACTTCCAAGCGATGTACCATCTTCGTCTACGGGAAGGAATAAACAGCCTTCTACAAGGGATCAAGGTGTTCAAGCCACTCCAGCCTTTGAGCGAGTACATCCTGAACCAGTGCCGCCGGTTCGTGTGGAAATGTACGCGGGACCCTTCTATCAAGTACCAGGACGGGATGTTCTACATCTTTTTCCGACATGCTGGGGTTTGCGTAATACCGGAAGGGCCCAGAATGTGCAGTTGTGCAGATGCTGTACAGAGAACGCTGGCAGAAGCATTTTCGATAGAAGGTGAGAACGCGCGGAATGCCAGTATGTTGATGACACTGCCCTCACGGTGGTGTCAAGGAGGAGTGCAGAGATGAAGCATTCCTCTTGAGTGTATGCACTGGTGACGCAATAGTCACGACTTGAGTTGGCAAGATGTCGGCTTAAGCACAAATCACGATTCGCCATAATGCTGCATTTCAGACCTAAAGAACTTTGTAAAGGCAGCTGGCATCGATAGTCATTGTGCATTGCCGTAAAAGAGTGAAAGCTTTGCCCTACCTGCGGTCCATGTTTGGCGCCTCGACGGCATAAGACCTTCTGACTGCTTCTGGGTTACAAATTCGAGTTCAAAGACTTTTAGTAGAGTAGGATTTCGGGGCGCACGATTCTACAATTACAATAAGGAACCCCCAAACTAGCATCGGTAATTAGTCTGGCCCCTATATTCATGATATTGCCCACTCCTCCTTGACCACAGATCGGATTTGTGTTGCGATGTTGTGGACCATTAGAAAACGACTGCGGAAACGCACCTCTGACTCACTGACTCTTCTGGCAAGCTCTGCCCTGCCCCGGCGACCGTCCTCAAGGCGGCTCTCTGTTGTAAATTGCCGCTTAATTCCATAGTAACGAAGGTCTCAGTCCTCCGACGTACGGAGCACAATGTGCCCGAGACCAACAAACCACCTCAAACCCTCAACTGGGGAAGTGCCTTGGCGCAGCTTCTGGCGCCTGAGAGCTGGCTTCCTCGAGCCTGTAGGCTCAGGACTTATGGCCTTCAGGGTTTGGGGTTTTTTGCTGTCCTTCGTGGACCATTGAGCACAATCAAGCGCCACCAACATCCCAACACAACGAACCCTTCCATGCATCGCGGCATCGCCTGCCAGTCGCCGTCGACGGACGCTGCACGCTGGAAGTCTCGGGTCTGGCACAGGCAGCTCTGGGACCGGTCAGGTGCTGGTCTCAGTGCTCCCTCTCCCCATCTGCCGCCCGATGACCTTCGGACGGGATCTTAAAAACACCACGAAAACACGAAGACAGGCTGCCGACGCACCGCTTACAGTAATCCCCGACTCTGCTGCCTAGAGTACCTCACCTATTGCAGGTTCCTAGCACTTGCTCGTTCGGGAAATTAGCATCGTACGTGTAGGACCAAATCCGATACATGGAACTCAAGCCTTTGAACTGATCATCTCATTGCGATCCGTCCGCTGAATCCCAGATCTCGAACACTCAGAGCCCGTGATTGTCTCAGAGCCAAACCCTAAAGGGGCCGAAACCGAGAGCCTGTGCACTCCGGGGTCGGTGAAGTCAGATCGATAGGCTGTCGAGGGCCTCAATCGCAAAGCATCAATCCCTGCATACAGCACACAGAAAGTTCCTTCAGCCGACACACCACCTCGGCCCGAGGTGCTCGAAATGTGGGCTGCAAGAGTAAGACTTCAGCTCAGGACTCGGCTTCACTGTAGGAGACCGATTCACGCATTGGAAGAACCCATTCGTGCACTTGGACGATGGGTTCACACTCATTAGCAGTTAGCAGGTTGGTGCACAGCGATTCGCACAATGACAACGCGAATTTCGCGGAGCAAGGTGGATTCAGTTTAGATTCGCCTACCGGCAGCTTCGGGCGCACGAAAGCCACGACTTCGCACATAGATGCGCATGCAGGTCTACTCTCGCGCACTGCAAACTTTGCGCACTGTCGGGTCCAAACCCCGAGAGCCAACAGCAGTTAACCCCAAACACCGTTTTTCAAACAAACCCGTGCATAAACCCAAGAGTTCCCTAAACCCTTAGCAACGGTAACCCCCAAAGCCGTAACGTGTGCAACGTGAACCCAAGCAAGTCCAACCCTAAGCCTTACTGAACTCAATTCCAAAACTTTACTTTTAAATCTCTACAGCCGAAAAGACCTAAACCCTACACACCGCCTGCCTTGCAAATCCTGCATACACCCCAAAGCCCTTTGAATCGAGCATGCTTGCATCGCACGTGCTTCAACTTGCTCGAAACGGCTTCGAGCTTGTAAGGGTCACGTCTCCGTTCGAACCGGCAACCTCACCAGCCGAGCCCAGGGCGGATGATTGCGGCCTGGAAGGAAGAGATTGGACCTCCCCGATCGGAACGCAAGGCACGTGCGAGTACACTGATATAAACATGCTGACATGCTGGGGTCAAAGAGCGATACGACTGAAACAGAACCTCCAAAGAATCAAGTCTTCCTGAGCGTCCTGAAAAACACATCTGCCCATAAAGCGGTCCTTGGCGGCTTTGCCGGTTCGGTCCTGAACCTCGGAACCCGAGCTTGGTCCCACACAATGCTCAGCAGAAGCACAGCCTTCACAAGAGCAAGGGCCGTTCAAGCCCACAAAGTGCCGACAATATGCACAAGTCCCTGTTGATGGCCAGCCAGCAAAGTAGATCTTGAGATTCCAGCTCCACAACTCGAGAACAGAAGCCGCTGGTCTCTTCCCTCGTGTTGTCTGAACCACAGAACCACGCACCGGGGCTTCCCGAGGCCCTTGCGCCCGATGCGGGGGCCCAAAGACCTGATGGGTGACAGACCTGCGAGGCGGACTGACTCAACGCCTGGCCTGGACCTGGAGATCAGGCCGGGGTAAGGCTGAGCTTGTGGAATATCCTCAAGCAGGCTTAGGGCCTGCTTTCGTGGCGTATGATGCGATGGAGAGCGAGAAGCTTCGGCTACTGGGCGATTCTCAAGACAAAGATCTCGGGGTACCGCACCGGTAGATTGTAGCCAATCTCGCAGTGGCATGCCCGAAGTACAGAAAGCTTGACTTCGCGGCTTAGCGGAAGCGGGCAGGCTTCCCTCTGCAAGTAAAGAAGTGTGCCGTGTCAACAAACAATAAGATCTGGAATCTGGGCCTTGGATGTTGTTGAGCCTGACTGGACTTCTTTCTCAAGTCTTGCAGTGCTGATCCCGGGTAGTATTCCTGGTCACCCAAAACGCCTCTTCACCAGCAGATCGCCTGAGGGCAGTGTGCTGCTGCGCCCGGCCTTTCTGCAAGTAAAGCAGCAAGACAGGAGAACGTTCAAAGACAGTGGCAAGAGATGGCAAGACTGAAATGATTCCTTGAGGCCGGCAAAAATACAGTTGAAATGCTTTGGCTCCCCCTGTTCTTTGTTGTCGCTGTACCGCCAGATTCGATGGGGTATTGAGATCCTCCCCCGCATCTCAGCCACTCAAGGGACGTAGTCCAGCTACTTGTACACTCCAGTCGAAGCTGAATGAGATTTTCTCAAGTTTCTGACGTTAAATGAGGGTTAGGAGCAATATAATCTTAGTTCATGCCCTCAGATTTGTCAAACCCCATCGGTTAAATCCAGATCCCATCGATCTTTTGAAGATCCTTTCGGTTTTTTGAAATCCCAGTGGTCATCTTCAAAGGCACATCGGTTACTCTTCTGTACACTATACCAATGGTAAAAACCTATCCAAAACGCAAGGCCCGGGCTTCACCAGAATGCTGCGATTTAAAATCGCTGCGGCTCAAACATCCAAGCGCAAGAGTATCAGGAGACGATCACTAATGGTACTCTCGCGCTGGCGAGAACACAAGCCAACCGAAAAGCACAGATCACCACGTGACCAAGGCCGGCTAATACGCATCGCTCACGAGCCCCGGGCCTTTGGCTTAGCACTCTTCTGCCGAGCGCGGCCGGCCTCGCGTCGAGGTGCGCTGGCTGGGGTTCAGGGTAAAAGGGGGGTTCGCGCAGTGGCAAGACTAGAGACCCACGCACACAAAGCGCTTCGGCTCAAGTCTCGAAGCTCTGGCTGCATGGAGTCTAAACTACATGCCGGAATGTTATCGGGAAGCAAACATCCCCCCTACTAAGGCCCTAAGTGGCCCAACGAATCGTTTTCAGTGAGCGATGTGAAAGACTCGGTAGAGATGTGTTTGCGGCGTCCATCAGACCAGTATGGACCAGATCTATGCTCCGCTTCATGAGGCCGGTCCCTTTGATGGGCCTCTTTGCGTGAGTAGCGCCTCCACGCCTCCTGCTCCCGAATGGCAGGTAGTGCTTTGAGACGTCTAACATGACCTAGAGGAAAGGTGCGGTGTACACCGAGTTTCTGGCGGCTCCAGAACAGGAAAAAGTCTGCGTAAAGCGAGCTTGCCAGCAGTCCATTCGAAGCATCCCGGGTCGCAAGTTACTCTGAAGCCGTCACCCGCCTTCGCCTTGACAAGAATCTAAGGCCCCAAGAGCTGCAGATCCAAAAAGCCAAAGCCAACCCAACCAAGAATGAGAGCTCCCATAAATCCAGAACTCCTTGCTCATCGTGTTGTCATCGAACTTGGCTGCCAAAGCACCTAGACCAGCAAAAGCTGACTATGAATGCTTTTCTTCTTGGAGAGTTCCGGCAGTACTTCTTCCTAAGTCCTAAGAGGGGACATACGACATGTATTAGGGCAGGATGAATATCAAAACGGGAACCCTCAAGAGCGAAATTGCCAAACCTTCTGTGCCCAAAATGATGCAGCATCGTACCCGAGGCCGCGTCTCGAGTGCTGAGGATTGCTGCGCAGCTTGTTCTCCTGAGCACCCCGCTCTAAAGAAAATTCAATTGCAACTCTCTTGGGTGTGCTTCACCTATGCTGTAGAACACCCACTGGGCTTCCACTGCCAGGTAGAGCACAAATGTGTCTTTGACATTCTTTGACATCACAGTCGATTTGAGTCTGGCGTTTCGTTCGCCTCTCCCGGAATTCTTGCAACTTGGGGGTTGAATGCTCTTCTATCCCTATCACCCCCACCACGACAGCACCTCTGCGTCCCTCTGATCCTGCCACAGCTGTGGAAGAAAGGCAGTCCTTGGCCAATGCTTTCGTGACGGGGGCGTCGTCAAGAGGCAGGGCCTCGGCAGCCGATCAGCCAAGAGACCAAACATCTGAGCACAAGTGACAGAAGCGTGAAACCTTCTAAAGCCCACGGAAGTCCCGAGGCAGGGACGATGTAGTCTGCGTAGTAGCCCACCGAGGAGCGGTCCAGCAGAGGGGCCCTGGTGTCATGGGGGCTCAACCCTCTACGATGTCACAGCCTGACTTGCAGTGCCTGACATGCCTCTGTGTGCACGTTCTCTCGCACTCTCTCAACAGGGGGCCTCTTTTTCTGGTGCTTCAGGTACTTGCCACTTCGCTGCCCGATTCCGTGCCTCAGAATTTCGACCATTTGGGTGCCAGATGCATTGTCGAAGGCCGCTCAAGCAAGCTATGGGCAGACCAATGCGTTATCATGCCATGTGCTTGATGCCCCCTGGGGTTCTGCACGAGGACCAGCAACATAGCAACTGCTATGATAGACACATGCACAGTCGTATCTTCCAGGGCTATCACACATCAATGAAGTTCTCGACTCTTGCCGCTGCCTCAGTCTCTTGCGCAGCTTGGAACAAAACAAAATCGAGCAAGAGAAGGTTCAGCAAAACGCGAGATGGCTTCTTTTTCTGGGCTCCGAGCGATGTCCCGAGGGTCCTTCTCGCTGAAGGCTCCTGCGGTAGTCGTGCTGTAGTAGAGCGTCCGGACCTCGATTGAAGCGACCGGACATCCCTTCCCACTTTGGGAGAGAGAGAGATATATATATATAGAGAGAGAGAGAGAGGAAGCGAGGCCTGCTCCCGCCCAGCCCCAGCGATGGCCGTCTGCGAAGGCCCGAGCCTCCACGTCGCCAATCAGAGGCTTCCAGCCCAACTTACAGATCACGAAACTCCTCTTTGATCTTCAACTCCATGAGCCCACTCCTGAAATCAAAGCTTGGCCCTGAACTGAGACAATCTTTGAACCTCGTCGGCTCGAGGCATCTCGGCATGCTCGGCAGGAGCCCTACCTGCGCTAGTGAAGTTACGAAACATTTTACGAAGTGCGGGCTTCTGGAGAGGTTGGTCTGGGGCTGCAAGCCCACACCCGAGCGAGGGCTGCAGCTCATCTGGAAGATAGGCTCTTTTAGCCATCTACGCCAGAGATGCACCTCACCCGGCAGTGTGGTAATAAGGGGTTCTTACGTTTCATGTAGAGGGGCTAATGCAAGCAATGCCGGAGAGAGAGAGAGAGGGGTGTGTGTGTGTGTGTGTGTGTGTGTGTATATGTATATATATATATATATGCATGTATGTATGTGTATATATATATATATATATATATATATTTATGTATACATACACTGCGTAAAAACACAAACTTCGAGCTGGCAACTTGGATCTACGATGCAGGGTCTATGTGGGAGCCTGGAAGGACGAAGTGCTGCAGGAATGGGGGTGGCTTTCAACCCGTACAACCCACTAACCGAACTAACCCCTAAAGCCTGAAACCCAGAGCCAAAGACAACACAAAGAAACCTGAGTAACGAGGGTGGCCAGCACTTCACTGTTATAACCCATCGGCAGATTGCCAAAAGGAGCCGTCTGCTGCGCCATTCTGCCACCAATGCTTGAAACCCAATGCCCGAAGCCAGATGCCGCTTCCAAGACGAACTTAGCGCCACACTTCAGGTTCATGTCACCGTGGCCAACGACTGCTGCTGCGGAGAATTCTTGCGTTCAGACGATGTGCTGGAGTTTGCGATTCAGATTTCGGGGGGAGGGTCTGGCACAGGCCGCAGATATGTGGACTATGTTCGATGCCTCGTGCTGCAAAAGACGGTCGTCCAATCTTCGGATTGCTCACACCAACCATGAAACTTGACCCTAAATCGACTGCTGCATACTGCCATGAGGATGCCCAACAGATTTATGTCCCGGGCATGCATGGTCCCATCATGGCTTAGCCATGCTTGAGCCCAGGGCAATGGAGTTCACACTGGATGCTGGACCTTCGAGCGAACAAAGGCACAGCGAGGCAACCAGGGACCTGACAGTGACAGCTTCCACTGCGGCCGTGCAGGATGCAGGTCATTTAAGCTTCAAACTTGCCAAGCTGGACTGAAAGCCCTATATGCAGCCGAAACCGATCTTTGCACTACGTTTCTACACCCCGCCCTGCCACATGTATGCCCGACCCGTTTTTCGACAACTCATCTTCGAGCGCAGATGATCGGCTTGAAGGCGGCTCTCGTGGTAGATGCAATAATGTATACTAGGTGTACCGAGCGGTATAACCATCTTGTCAACACACAGCCACGACAAAGTACACAGCAGAGAAAAATGACGAACATGCGCACAGCGCAAGTGCCGGCCGCGGAAGTGCCAAGCAAGCGCTTCATTGACTGCTTTTGGATTGGTGAAACCGACAAGCATCTTGCTTGCACTCTTACACTTGCACCCTGATCAACCCGCACACCTCGGAAAGGCCCCTTGAATCCCGAAACCCCAAGCTCGGCTCAGATGGCAATGCCCTGATGGGGTTGGTGCCTAGGCATCTCTCTTGCAAATGTCATGGTGCGCACTTCGGAGGTCCGTGGATTTTGGTGACTGATCGGTCTGATCGGAGAAAGGCCGAGCTCAACTTTAAGACAAAAGCCTCGACAATGCTAGCCCACTGCTTGCAAAGCTACAGATCTAAAACTGGCCAAAATAAATTTCTACAGAGGCGACAATTGCTCAGTTTCCGTTTCCCCTCGACGCGTAGAAGACTGCCGGGAAGTTGGGGAAGAGACTTCTGACCTCAACCAGGCCCGAGCTCCAACCCAAAAGCCGTAATTTTCCGCAAGCCCCTGCATATTCGCATACCATCGCCCACGAAACTGCTGAGGAATAACAATCCTGCGCTGTGTCCCCGGGCGGGACGATGAGACGAGGCTGGGCACCACTGCAATTGGCGATGCACTCCAGGGCCTGGACAGGGAGGGGCAAGAGCCCTGAGCACATACCCCGCACCTAAGCCGCCCGAGCCTTCAAGCACCTGAAGGCCTGAAGGTCCTGGAAGCTTCAGCGCACCTTCTCGCTCATCTCGTGACCCTCGACGCTCAGCTGGGGCACCAAGGCATGGCGAGACCTAAGCATCTCAGGCTTTGGCACAGGCCCGCTGACAGGGGACCTTGCCTGCCTTGACAGACCGTTCTGGACGCCCAACTACGGGCATGTCAAGCTCTTCAGCTTTCGGCATCGAAGGGTTCGAGGACGGATTTTGTCAGACACTCGAAACAGAGATTCGAGGTTTTGGGTCACCATATGGTCCAGTGAAGGAAACCATCTATGCCAGCGATGGGCCGTCATGCTGAAGCCCACACAGTCGCTGCTAGTTTGAATCTCGACGCGTGTGGCATCTGTCAAAACATCACGCACATCGGTCTCCGAAAGCCTTGCAACATTAAAGCGCTGTACCAGGACGCCCCCACCCTTGATGAACACATCTCTGCGATGACATGAGCTGAAGCATCATCTAGCCTCCATGCATCTCCGCTTGCACTTGGAGGCATCTGAAATTTTCTAGCATCATACAGCCACTCCGAGTCTCGTAGTACTATCCTGAACATTTCTCTCTGTGCTGGGAATGTCGTGATTGAAACTACTGGTCTTCTGATTACTTGTTTGGCCCCAACTTGACTCCTACACGCACTGAACTGCCGCTGGAAAGGAAAACAGGACACACTCTTGCTGTGGATTAGGGGTGGGGGCCAGGTATGGAGGCACCTGATTTGGAGAGAATCCCTGCGAAGGCCCGGGCTGGAGTGTGGAAGAGTGCGCCTGAAGGGCAGGCTGCAAGAAGCGATTTAGTTCCGACGTTGAGGTTTGGGCTTTTGTCTGAGATGACGTGGCGTTCACTTAGAAACCACACACATGACTCAGACTCAGAAAGGCAGAGAACCACTGCAGGGCAAGTTTCTGGGGTACTTCCTCAAGGTGAAGCTCCACCAAGCTCACATCCAAGCTTAAACCTAGGCCCTAAACCCTGAAACCCGTACGACCCTGAGCCCCTAAAACGTAAACTCCCTAAACCCTAACACAGCCCGACAGCACAACGCGACGGCTGGATTCAGGCCTGGAGGCTCTCTGCCGCCACGGCCGGCTCCTCGGCCTGAGGGTGTCTGAATGGCTACGAATAAGCTCTTTTCTATAGGGTTAGGGATAAGCTGCCCTTGTAGTGCTTACATAACTCTGCTACAATGTACCCCAAGACCTCATGATGGCTTCGCGGGCGTTCCAGCGCTCTGCGATGGGAGAGTTCTACGCTTTGCGATTTATAGGAGTCAACATGTAGCGCAGCATCAAATGACCCCAAGGCCACAGAACAATACATCCAGCCGCAGGAGTGTACAGTGTACCAACCAATGCACCGGCCGACTACAACATCAGGTTGAGATGCTATGTCATATGTGTTCCAACGGCGAAACACTTAATGAATTAATCAGCAGGGGGCGTGAACATGATACCCATGGCCAAATCACACGGTAATGACTCACATAGTGGGAGGGAACACCCCCCACTGGGCACTCACAGGCTATCTTGAGGCATGGAGACTTCGGGGAGTGCAAAGGACAGCGGAAGGGGTTTCCACATTTGCACGTATCGGGCTCTAGTTTCTATCTGTTCCTGCGAACCTCTGAGGTTCGTGATTTCGCATCTGAAACGTCACAGTGGCCTAGTCCCAGTGGTTTACTGGCCGTCACAAACCCCGGCAACCAAACTATCAGCCGCAGGAGCACGCACAGAACACTCAACTCAGGCTTGAAACAGACAATCCTGCGGACTCGTTCAAATCTTGCCAAGAGTAAATCAACCCTACAGACAGCTTGGCCAAAAGCGGTCTTGCCGGAATTACCAGCCCTCGGGCTTTTGGGCTGAGGGGTTCGGTGAAGCCTCGTCGCGGGGGCTGCTGGTGCGGAGAGTTGCCTCACAGACTTCAATTATCGGATAATGTAACGGCAACTCGTGCTGCACTGACAATGGACATGGCTTTAAGCGTCTTGGTGCCTCAAACTAGACTAGCCAACCAAAATCTCCAGACCCTGAGCCTTTCAGCTTATCAGCCTCGCCGATGTCCTGTGATTCTTTCTGCAAAAATGGTACTAACGACTTTGCGCAGCCGAGGTGTTCCGCAGCAAACCTGTTGCACTTCGACTCTGCCCATACTATCACTTGCACCGGAGGCAAGCGACAAGGGCACAAATCATGGAGGGATCAGCTGACATGGTCTGATGGTCTGGAGCAGGGCAGGACACACCAACCGCCGAACTGGTGCGGCCGGGGCCGGGAGAGATCGCACACCGAGCGGCCGGCATCATGCGCGCATCAGACTGGGCGCGGCAAAGCGAAAGGGGGCATCTTCCAGAAACCATGCATAATGCATCCACCAGCAGCCACGGTCCCGTGTTACCCAAAGGCTGATTCTGACGATGCGCGCTGCAGTGTTTATTTCCTCCGCCCACACTGATGCCCATGATTCTGAGAATATGCAACAGCGGCTGATGCTGATGATTGTGGTGCACGGTTTTAGGAAGATGCCGTTTCGCTGGACCACGACCGCTCCGTTTAGCCCACAACGCCGAGCGGGCGGCATTATGCGTATCAGCGTAGGGGCGGGAAGGCGAAAGGGCATCTTCCTAAAACAGACTGAAACCATGCAGCGCGTGTCATCCGCATCTGCCGCTGCTCCATTTTGCCGCCCAATGCCCATCAGCATAGACACGGGAAATCACGGGATACCGATACTGCGACACAGCCGCATCATGAGCATCTGCTTTAGCTGCATCACTTGATTTCTGCGACAGCCGACAGCAGCTGGATTCGGCAACCACCCGTCATGTCGCTTGTCTCCCGCACTTTTTCCGCATACGAGGATGCCATGCATTGCCGCACCGTCGAAAGGCCTTTGATTCTTTCACGGCAGGAGCACCGACTACTCCTGAGGACTGCACGTTGCTAGCATGGGCATGGGAATCTTTGTCGCATGCGAGGCCATCTGATGGAAGAATGGTTGTTGCACCTTCGCCCTGTGCAGCGACTGCTGGCATTTGCTGCTGCCCCTTTCGACAGTCTGGCTTATCACTTGAATTGGGCTGATCACTCGCATGAAGACGGATTCCCACACCATCCTCACCCTCAAAGCTTCCAGGGCACATGCTATCGTCCTTGCATGCGCTCATTACTAATCAGTACTACTCATCCTCGAAAGTCAACCCAGCAACACTCAACCTGCCTCATGGGTCGCGACGTCTCTCAGCCGCCCAGCCACCCGCGCTCGAGGCACGCGTGCTGCTACGGAGCCTGGCAAACTTCGGAGGGCCTTGGCCATTCAAGATAGCAGTACCACAAAGTTCAACCATTAGTGTCATACTTGCTTACACTCCCATCATGCACCACTATAGGAACAAGCTGATGCTTTCGGGGCTCAACTGTCGTACGAATAGCTGAAAAATATGTTGAATTCTAATGTGCCGTGCACATGGTATGGCAGCTGTTGCTCTGTTCTTGTCGGAGTTGATACCCGCCGGCGGTCTGAAAACAAAGGGCACAGGATGAATTGCACCTGCGCGATGAACATCCTAGCAGTTCTCATGCGAAGATGACAAATGTCCTTGGCTCCTGGAGGAGTGCCAGGTAATCTACCGTATCCGGTTACGAGTGTCAGGGTTTTCACCATGCAGATAGCCGGTCTCCGAAGTAGCACCTCAAAATCACCTGGCCACATCACCAGCATACTGATGCACATATATGTATATATATATATATATATATATGTTACACGCAGGGGTGCAGGGGGTGGGGCAGCAGCCAGGATCATCTATGGCAGTAGTGGTGTGAATCATGATTTTTTAGTCACGAGAACGCTAGTGACGGTAACCGATCACAATTGCAATAGCCCTCACCGGGTCCTGCCTCTGCTCCTGCTCCTGCTCCTGCTCCTGCTCCTGCTCCTACTCCTACTCCTACTCCTACTCCTACTCCTACTCCTACTCCTACTCCTACTCCAACTCCTACTCCTACTCCTACTCCTACTCCTACTCCACTACTGTCTCTACTACAACTACTGGTACTACTGATACTAGTACCACCACCACTACCACAACCGCTACTGCTGCCGCTGCCACTACGACTACCCCTAACGGTACCCGCACCACTATCACTATCACTAGGCCTCTGCCTTTTTTTTCGAACGCGGAAGGCTCTTCTAAGCGAGCCCATCCGCACCGACCTATCCTAATTCAGCTACTGGTGGCTTA